AAAAAAAAAAAAAAGAAAAAAGAATTGAAAAACAGTCCTTAATGTAGAGGCCAGTAAGAAAAAATAAAGAAAAAAAAGAATTGAAAAACAATTACTTTGTATAGATCAGGCTTGGTGGCTCATGCCTGTAATTCTACCACTTTGGGAGGCCAAGGCGGGCAGATCACAAGGTCAGGAGTTCAAGACAAGCCTGGCCAACGTGGTGAAACCCCATCTCTACTAAAACAACAACAACAACAAATGTAAAAATTAGCCAGGTATGGAGGTAGGTGCCTATAATTCCAGCTATTCAGGAGGCTGAGGCAGGAGAATCTCTTGAACCCGGGAAGCCGAGGTTGAAGTGAACCAAGAACCTGCCACTGCACTGCAGCCTGGGGGACAGAGTGAGACTCCATCCAGAAGAAAGGAAAGAAAAGGAAAAGAGAGGAAAGGAGAAAAGAGAGAAGGGGAGAGGAGGGGAGGGGAGGGGAGGACAGACAAAACCTAGAATGAAACTTATTTTCATGAAACTATCCACAAATGGTGTAACACAACAATGTTATGAATGTAGACATTCAAAGATCAGGAAATTCCAGAATTAGGGTTCTTTTTTTAAATTTTTTTCTGAGACACAGTTTTGCTCTTGTTGCCCAGGCTGCAGTGCAATGGTGCGATCTTGGTTCACCGCAAGCCCTGCCTCCTGGGTTCAAGCAATTCTCCTGCCTCAGCCTCCTGCGTAGCTGAGATTTTAGGCATGCCCCACCACGCCCAGCTAATTTTGTATTTTTAGTAGAGACAGGGTTTCTCCATGTTGGTCAGGATGGTCTTGAACTACCGACCTTAGGTGATCCGCCCACCTTGGCCTCCCAAAATGCTGTGATTACAGGTATAAACCACCATGCCCAGCCCAACCTTATATTTGATTCTTATATTGATTCAGCTATATAGCACATTTAATAGGGCTTATAATATGCCCTAAAAATAAAAACCATAATGGGCCATTATTTTGTTCAAAGGGAAAATGGAAAGACCAGCTTATGGCTGGAGACATCAAATAAACATTGCTATGAAAACATCTGGAGGCTGAGTACAGTGGCTCTCACCTGTAATCCCAGCACTTTGGGAGGCCAAGGTGGGTGGATCACTTGTGCTCAGGAGCTAGGACCAGCCTGGCCAACATGGCAAAACCCCGTCTCTATTAAAAATACAAAAATTAGCCAGGCGTAGTGGTGTGTGCCTGTAATTCCAGCTACTCAGGAGGCTGGGACAGGAGAATTGCTTGAACCCAGGAGGCAGAGATTGAAGTGAGCTGAGATAGTATCGCTGCACTCCAGCCTGGGCTACAGAGCAAGACTTCATCTGAAAAAAAAAAAGAAAGAAAACCTTTGGAAACTGATGCCTTGTTTATGTATGTTCTTAACTTGTATACTTCATTAGTATATATTTTTCTGGGGTTAGGTAGAAGGCACATTTTCAAAAAGTAATCGTTTGCTAAAGTAGAATCCTTAAATGAATTTTTTTTTTTTTTTTTTTTTGCATCAGGAAGCCTTAAGTCTAAGTTCTTGCAAAAAACCACAATGTTCTATTTTGTGCTTTTTCTTAAATACATTATTTAAATCTTCATGGCTTTAGATTGGCTTGATTTTTTTCCCTTCCTCCATTGGGAGTACATTGCTGCCAAGTTTAAAGTTTGTAACAATCATTTTTGAATGACATAAATGCAAAAAAATCTCAAACGTCTGTCTGCAATAGGAAAAATTATATTTCTTTCACCATTGTTTTACTAGACTCCTGCAGTTATTTTTATAAAACTTTTTTTTTTCCATGAGGGAGAAAGTTCAGTGCAAATATGTAGACTTAAAGCCTAAACTAATTTTTTCTAGGAAATTCCTTAGTAAATGAATGACTATGGTATGGTCTTAAATATTACTATTTTTAAGTTTTTTTGGTTTCGATTTTCACTGACTTAGTGATTTGGGCAAGGCAAATGATCTTTCCAAACTTCCTTTTCTCAAAGTAAAATTGACTATAGTTATGTAATAGGCTACAGTAGCTACTGTTATTTATCTCCTCTGCAAGACTTCCCAACACCTTTCTTCCATTAACATTTCTAGCCCTTGGAGTTCTTCCCTGGGATTTCTTGATTTGAAGCCTAGAGAGGAATAGCCTTGCCTCTGAGGTCAAGTCCTAGAGGGATATGAAGGTATGCAAGTGTGCAGGTTGCAGGGTAGAGGAGGTGCCCATCTTCACCATGTGCAGAAGTCTGTCTGCAGTAAAAGAGGATAAAAACAGAGACAGAGAAATGAGCAGCACATGGGCTGAAGGTGGGTGAGAGATGGAGCCATTCTGAGCACCCATGAGCAAACATGAAGTGAAACATTTCTTCTTTCCAGTCCCAGACGCCCAGGTCCTGTAGGTCCTGATCCCAGGAGCTACTCCACTATCTTGAGCCTCATGAGCTAGGATATTCCCTTTTGTATTAAATCTAATTTTATAGTTAGATTTCTGATATCTGTAACCCAATTCTGTTGTGTGGAGTCTTTTTTTTTTTTTTTTCTTTCTCTCTTTCTTTCTCTTTCTCTCTTTCTTTCTCTTTTTTTTTTTTTTTTAATCTGAGAGAGTCTTGCTCTGTCGCCTGGTCTGGAGTGCAGTGGTGCGATCTCTGCTCACTGCAACCTCCGCCCCCAGATTCAAGTAATTCTCCTGCTTCAGCCTCCTAAGCAGCTGGTATTACAGGTGTCTGCCACCATGCCTGGCTATTTTTGTATTTTTAGTAGAGGCAGGGTTTCACCATGTTGTTTCACTCAAACTCCCAACCTCAGGTGATCCGCCTGCCTTGAGCCTCCCAAAGTGCTGGGATTACAGGTGTGAGCCACCATGCCCGGCTATGTGGAGTGTTATATAGGGCATTGTTTCTCAAACTTTAGCATGCATCAGAATCACCTGAGGGCTCATTAAAACACTGCTGGGCCCCATTCTTAGAATTTCTGATTCAGTAAATCTGGCATGGAAACCTAAGAACTGGCTTTTTAAAAAAAAATTTTAAGAGACAATGTCTTCTTGCTCTGTCACCCAGGCTTAAGTGCAGTGGCAGGATCCTAGCTCCCTGCAGCTTGAACTGCTGGGCTCAAGCAGTCCTCCCACCTCAGCTTCCTGATTAGTTGGGACTATAGGAGTGTGCCATCATGACTGGTTAATTTTTAAAATTTTTTATAGGTATGAAGTTTTGCTATGTTGCCTAGGTTGGTCTCAAACTCCTGGGCTCAAGTCATCCTCCCGCCTCAGCCTCCCAAATGGTTGGGATTACAGGTGTGAGCCACCCTCACCCGGGGCTGAGAATTTGCACTTCTAACAAGTTTCTTTTTTAAAAAAGTTTTTGAGGCAGAGCAATCAGGCAAGAAAAATAAATAAAGCGTATTCAAATAGGAAAGGAGGAAGTCAAATTGTCTCTATTTGCAGACGACATGATTGTATATCTAGAAGACCCCATTGTCTCAGCCCAAAATCTCCTGAAACTGATAAGCAACTTCAGTAAAGTCTCAGGATACAAAATCAATGTGCAAAAGTCACAAGCATTCCTATATACCAATAACAGACTTAAAGAGAGCCACATCAAGAACGAACTGCCATTCACAATTGCTACAAAG